GGGGGGGGGGTACACTACATACATTTTACATTCGAACCACTAGAAATAAGCACTTTTAAACACATTTAAACCTCGACTCCAACCCCCAGGCCTTTATTCCTACTTTAAACCTGGATTTGTCAGGTTTACTTTAGGCCATGTTGATTTGATTATATGGATGACATCCGCGCGCGCATGAATTTTCGGCCGTTTCCCCCCCAAAAAAAATTTCAACCATACTGTAAATCGTACAAAACAGTTGCAAAATGAGCATAAATATACCATAAGTTACAAAAATAATTAATAAAAACTATACCAATGTCGTAGAATGCCAAAATCAAACGAAAAAAGACGAAATTGTAAAGAAATGAACTTGAAGACTAGATTATTCGCCATATTCTGTGCCATTTGCTCCACCCTCATGACCACGTAGATTTCATAGTGAAAAGAACTTTTTTATTTGCAAAACTTTTTTTTATTCGCACGCGCGCATCAGTTTTAGGGCTCCCGGAGGATGTCATCCATATAATCAAATCAACATGGCCTTAGGTAAAAAAAACGGCTTGTTTATTAGCTAAAGCCAAAATATTGAAATGATACCAGGGTATTTGACCATTACAATTATCTAAAAAAAATACATTGGTGTACAAAGTCAACCGAAAATGGCATAATGATGGATCATGTCTCAAATATTGTATGAGAGTTGTAGAATTTGCATAGTGGAAGGTGAATATTGTGGAAGTTTCTTGTGAACAAAAAAAAATGAAAATTCTAAAATAGTCCCTTAGATAGGTTTAGATCTAAATACATATGAAATCCCATGACAATTCATCCATTGCACCACTATTGAACTTTTTTATACATCCTAGCAAATAAAGAAATAGAAATAATGAAAAAAAAAACATACGGGCGTTGATTCCGTTAATTGTGGCGAGCACCACAGTGAAAACAGGCAGCACTTTCCACAGCATGTCTGCTGTGTAGAAATCTAGGGGGGAAGATGTTACATGTGCTTTAATTTTTTAAATTCCACTTCTTGTCTTCTACGATAAAACAAATGTTTGGCGTCCAAATATTGAACTCTGCTATTGAACTTAATTCGAGAGTATTTACTGAATGTGATTCAGCATATAACAATTGTTACATGAAAATGTAGTATACTAGGTCCTGTTTTATTCTGTCTATGCGCCTGTGTATGTGTGTTTCTGTGCGGGTTTTGTTACATTTGCAAAGTAAACGTATTTTGTTTACCTTCGCATATGGTCTGCTTTGTTAATTCGTACTAAAATACATTCATATATAAGGTCAGACAGGAGTCTAAATCCCTCCTGCTATAAAACTGCAACAATATGTAACCCAATACCAGTTACCATGGTGACAGACGGTTCAGGTCATTGACCAGGTCAGAGGTCAGGGTTTGGACAAGAAGAAGAGAAAACGTAGCAAAAATGATATGTTTTCCTTCGATATCCATAATTATACTAAATGCAATCACCACATCTCCATGATCCGTGAGAAAAAAAAATTAAAAACAAAGAAAAATAACAAATGCTCAAAATATTCCATCTAGGAATGACGTCTCCGAATACTTGTTTCTGAAGTTTTTAAAAGACCTTAGTGAGAGGTTAAAAGTTAGTTTAAGAAGATACAGTGCCTTGTTCAACCAAAAAGTAACAAGGATGTGATGTGACGACCTGCTCTGTTTTGTGTACCGGACCTCTGCCCACGCTAGATCCGGGTTCAAACTGTTCGTCCTATCGTACGAAATACGGGGATCAAAGAGGTAAGAGATCCTGCTTATGCCGAGATCCCATTTTCAAGCTGGGGCCCTAACCTCCTTCGCAGACTTGTTGGGCGGCGGCATTATTTTTTCGGTGAGCGACGTGTGTAATATGCCGCGGATGGACGATTTTGCCGCCGAGGGAAACCTTGCCATGGAGCGGGAAACCTTCTCTCCATGGCAAAAAGTCTCTCGGCTGTAAAATCGTCCCTCCGCGGCATATTACTCACGTCGCTCACCGAAAAAATAATGCCGCCCCCACCCAAATCCCCAGACTGCCACATACTTAGTACGTGAGAGGTGAGGTGTTTAGGGCTAGGGTTAGGGGTAGGGTTGGTATCAGAGTTAGGGCTAGAGTTAGATTTACGATTGGGGCTAGGTTAGTGTCCCGCATCACGACTAAACCCCTGCCACCCCTTGTCAGGTATATTGGAACCCCCCACGTAGTGTCGGAGCAGTGCATTTAGCAGTATCGTGTATACCGCTTGACATCGGCTGGTCCTCTGCTCGAAAATGGACCTCAGTGTCACTGACATGAGGTACAACGACCAGACAAAATGGGGAAGGGTTACCGTAGCAAATGAGCGAGCACAAAAAAAATTAATCAATAAAACCGGTTAAATAAATAAAACTGGTCGACAACGTAGCTATAGAGCCCTCCGTGGACGTAGAATTTCGAAGGCTCGCTGTCCAGAAAGTAGCTTGGGGCGCACAGAACACCAGCCAACTACAGCAGACCAAGGTCTGTGCTTCAGACCTACTCCTAACCAAGAACTTGGGGGGAGGGGGTAGTAGTATTTGGATGTCTTTTTGTCTATGCTAAGATTGAAACCATGCTAAGATTTAATTCATACTGTGAGGTACACGGCGGTCAATTTCTAGGGTAAAGTTTCCAATTCTACGGAGGGGTATCAGGTTACCGGGGTTCCACGCGCGGCTTCCGTGGAGCCAGTCTCAACGGTAAACATTTTGTTAAGCAATAATTAGCTGTTTCACGGGGACTCCCTTGTCCAAATGTGATCAAATCCGCACTGCATATAGCTCAAATGTTGTTGTTTTTATTACAATGCTTAAATGAGTGTGAAATCACTCTCAACGCGTGGAATGCCTATTCTAGAACAATCGACGTCAATAACCAAACAACTGATTTAAACCGACCCCAAATCTCTCAGAAAATTCCACATTTTTGCATTTTAGAGAACAGTATAACAAAATTAAGATTTGAGTCGGACAGTTTTCTTTATTTCAAAGTTAAATTGTTGCTAAGGTCGAAAAATTCGCCAAAAAATGCACTTTTTTAACTTCCAAGACGGATAATTCCAGAACGCCGCCATCTTTAAAAAATCCGTCCGACACAGATCGAGATTTTTGTCTTACCTACAATTTAAAACGTTTTTGAGGTAAATTGAATTTGTTTTTCTTGCAGTTTAAATACCATGTTTGCACGCATGTCAGGCCGTGTGAGTAAGTACATGGGGTATTTTATATCCCCGTAAACAACAATTACGATCTTCAAGGTCACACACCATGACGGCAGTAGCTTCGTTACATGTTACATATCCACTAGAAAACTGGGCATAGATATACTGTCCCGAAATCGGGCTATATTTGTGAAAAGGTGGAATTTGTACTGTTAGGCGGTACCCGTGTAAAAACGGGCTTGAAGCCGCGGGTTTACTGTACATGACCGCGGGTAACCCCGGATCGAACGAACGTTCGGTTCGATTGACGTCATATCGAACATGATTCTATTCGAATGACGTCATATAGAACATGATTCTGTTCGATAAAAAGGTTGGAATATTTGGGCCCAAATTTGACCATCGTGGGTAAGAGTGGCCCATACTAAGATTATATCGAGATTTAAATTAATGTCTAACGATTTTCCCCATGATGTCCATTAGTAATAGTCTTTGACTAGTTGGGACACCCTGGCTTCTTTGTAAGCCGAAATAGAAAAAAAAAGTTGTATTACGCTCAACATAACACTGTATAATACGATAACCACGCATTTAGGGTACACATACCAGAGCAGGCATCTCTGATACCTAACTATTTAGAGACAGGACAACACAATAATGGCATAAAAAGTTAATCTGGTGCCGGGGCGCATTACTGTTCTTAAAACTAATGACCCTTAACAAAAACAGCGGGACACGGAATTGAGAGTTCGTAATTTGTCATACGTTTGTGAATGTAGTCATATATGATAATGATATAATGACTATAACGATTACATGCTGCAATTTGAAAAAAAAATAGATCGCCATTTGAATCCAACATCTGCGTGCAATGGCGTCGCGAAAAAAAAGCAATCTGACAGAAATTAAAACACTATAAATGCACAGTATAAGAACAGGTAACATATGATAACATCACTAACCGTCTGATTTAGTCTGGTAATTGTAGTAAACAACAAGACACCGTACGGTCTTCTCCCACCTCCGAACGGTCTGTCTTCTCTCCGAAGTACGGCCCGCTTTAGACGAGAGACACCGGTGAAATGTTGCGGGGTCTCCTGCACAACCCGTTGCGAAGCAGAGTTCTGGACACTTCCTATTCGTCCACGTCAGCGCTAAAACCCTTACTATTGGTCGACGTCATCGCCAACACCCTTTATCAGTTCTCACTATCAGGTGACATCATACAACTCGACGTGGCGAGTTCGTCTGGTGCCATGATGTTTTTCTTTCATGTGACTCCGTACTGTTGTCAGTAAACAATGATGTGCACATTGGATGCATGTAGAAGGGACGTCGAGGGTAGCCTCCATCAGACCTTTCTACGGGAAAACGGATCGTTGAATTCGGCAAAAAAAGAGGGTAACATTGGCCAAGGGAGTCCAGCCGCGGGGAGGTAGTTTCTTTCCCTTCTCTCTGTGCGTCCAGGCAAACCTAAGGGCAGCCAATTGCAAACTCACCTGGCAAATATTCTCCTACACATAGCCAGCGTAGTTAGTCTGGTAGAGACTACGTCGAGGGATCCTGTGTACCTGTCTGAAAAGCAATTATGCAGAGCCCTTTCGACCCCGTATGTTATGCTTTAATATAAAATTGTTTTATGTGTTTGTTTTCGGAATAACATCAAAACAGAGATTCCATCTCACATTTTTGTTATTGTGTTTCTATTAGAAGCTTCATGTAAATATCACAGACTATTGATTTTCCTCAAATGTGTTGGAGAAATATTGTCTGGGAAAAGTATAAAGTACTGGAAAACATAATGAAAAGCACAATATACTGTGTGAAAGATAATTTTGTAGAAGCATAATATTGTTTGAAAATATTGTGTGAGAGAAAGAAAATGTTTTTTCTGAGAGAAATATAATGGGCAGTGTGGGAGAAACATAAATATTGTGTGTGAAAATATAATGTGTAGACAAAACATGATGTACTGTGTAAGAGAAATACAAGGTACCCTCTACGAGGAACTATAAAAACACAAGGCATTCATAATCAGTGAATTGAAATTATAATCTGCTATAATCAGTGGACCAAAGCGTACACTCTGGACATTTTCTCAATTTGTGTGAACTAGGCCCGCGACTGAGACACAACACGGATGTCCGTTTTGTTTACACTCCTGATATTTCTGTCTCAGTCGTTGTTCAGCATGGTGAATAGGGCTATATATGCAACGTAAAATAACTAGTATTTCTACATGGTATAAGGAATGCTGATTTTATTAGACATTTAGATATTAATTTTCTCATTTTTATCACCCCACCTTGCAAGGCAATTTTATTTAAAAAGACAGAAGCAGAAGAGATATTGTAGATATAGACGTAACACAGTAATGTAACACTCTTTTCAAGCTGGAATTTTAGACATTAAACATGTAGCAACCAGCCTTGAATTAATTGAAAAAATCAGCCCAACATAAACCTGTCCAACTTGGGCGCAAAAACAAGAGAAATTTTCAAGAAACTGCCCTGTTAATTGGCTTTTCTGTGGTGCTACACCCTTTTGCTATTCTCTTGATATCGACCGAAAGGGGGGGTCAAAGTGCACCATAATGATTGTTTACCAAAACAGCGATAGTAAAAGATCCGCGGTATAGGATTTACTGAAAAGGCTGGTACTTTTGAATCAATACATGAGCCCCCACATGAAGCTGAGTTTATGTGACCAGAACGTCTGAAAGGTGAGGTATGATGTAATTTTTTTGCCTGTTTTTTGCATAGGTTTGACTACAAGAGATCAACTATAGCGTCTCTCTCCCTTCCCTGACGCCCCCCTCCCATAAGGTTTAGGAACTAGTTTTTACCGTTTTCGCCCCTGTCTGTCTAAACTGTGACCTAAAAAAGACATTGGACACGTGTGAAGATTCCATTCGTCGTTTATTGACACTGTGGGGCATGTTAGGCCTTTTCGTGCCGACGGATCAGGAAATAATTTTGTAGGTAAAAAGCACCATTTAACTATTCTAATTCTAACGGCAGTTTTTTTTTCTGGTCACAGAATATTAATGTCTAATAAATGTTTTAGATTTCCCTTTTTATGTATGCCAAAAAAAGGACAATATGTTACTGATCCATTTCCTTTTGTTGCTGCTCTAAATATTCTATGAGGGTATGAGATCTCCGAATTCTTGTTTGTCTTTGTTCCCATAGGTTAGTGCTGTACGTAATTTTACAAGAAACTACGGCCTCCAAAATATATTCAGCATTACAAACGAGGATAATTTCAAGCAGAGGTTTAAAAGAAGAAAGCTAAACTAGAGAAGTAACATTTGCAAAGCAAATGCATAATGTTTACCTTCGGACATGGTCTGCCCTGTTATTCTTACTAAAACACATTCACATACATGTACTACTAGTATATGGTGACAGGAGTAGAGCAGACCATGAAATTGCAACATTATGTAACCCAACACCAGTCACAATGGTAACAGATGTCAACAAATCATGTCATTGGCCGGGACAGAGGTTACTGTTTGGAACAGAAGAGGAGGAAGAAACTGAGTAAAAACAATATGATTTCCTTCGGTAAACATAAATATCTACTGTTACTACGTGGCGTGATCCAGGAAACAAGCAAGACCGTTGATCTGAGCTGGGTATTTAATTATAATTAACTGGATGATTCTGATTAACTGAGAATCAAGACATTAATCACCAACATAAAACAACAAGCATACCAAACAGATCGTGAAAAGCATTGATTTTCACTATTTATTTTATCGTTTCTTGGTTACATAACAAATACATATTTTGTGGATATATGTGTCTTTAATAATTTTGCAAACAGTTCTTAAATGGACAAAAGCAAAAAGCAAAGACAGCATGTGTAGAACATACACTGTTTGTACTGTTGGGGTATTAAACGTTTGCGATTGGACCATCTCGATAGCAATTATTCAAAAGCAAAAAACAGAGCATATAGATGTAGTAATCACATGTAGTAACCATGTAGCTTCAAGAACTTTTTTCGGATCATTTGTTAAGTTTACTTAGTTCTAGACTCGATGTCTCAATGCACATGTAGTACTTGTATCTGTTAGATAGTAAACTTGTAATACTAATCTGCTTACCTGTCAAGAACTTGATAATAATGTGTGAATATTAGTATGAATAGAGAGGAAAGGAAAAATATTAATAAACTCCTTACCAACCTCGAAAAGAGAGTTTGCTTACAGTGTAATGTCTACTGTACTAAGTTGCTTAAGGTATTTATTAATAGCATCTTAAAGAAATACCCTATATGTCATACATGTTAACATGATTTATATCACTATCATTTCCACATTAAAGACCTTTAATCCTGCTCTTATCGCATCTTAAATATTGACATTGTTATTTGTATAGTTTAGCTTTATCAATTGATATATTATACTTCATTATCAAATAAGGCTATCTCCTTTCTTTTCTAGTTATTTTGCATCTTTTATATTCATTTATGTTAGCATGATCAGCGAATCACACAACTCAAACAACTCACCTATATATATATATATCATATTTTTATCTAGTTTATATTTCTAATGACTGTTCTCTACTTCATGTCAACTGTGCAGATATGGTAACTGTTAATACATACATTTCTACGAATTTAGGTAAATTTTCTACTGACATTTTGCTGTGTTTACTACATTTCTTTAGTTCCCATTTCCACATCGCCATTGTACTGTCATGTTTTATTCTGTATGATTAACATGTACAATAGCTGGACTTTAGCTGGTCTAAGCATCTACATGTAGATTAATAGTACTGTATTACTCATCAGCAGTGGTTTACTTGAACAGGTGGCTTTCAAGTCTGGATCACTGTCTTCAATCTGTTCAAAGAGAGAAATACTGTATGTAAATAGAATTTCTTTTCAGAACCGATACTCACCACATATGACGCCAGTTGACCAATGGCAATGACTGTTATAACGATACTCGGCACATATGACGCCAGTTGACCAATGACAAATGACAAAGACTGTTATAGCGATACTCACCACATATGACGCCAGTTGATCGATGACAGTGACTGTTATATCGATACCACATATGACGCCAGTTGACCGATAAAAATGACTGTTATAGCGATACCACATATGACGCCAGTTGACCAATGTCAATGACTGTTATAAGGATACTCACCACATATGACGCCAGTTGACCAATGGCAATGACTGTTATAAGGATACTCACCACATATGACGCCAGTTGACCAATGGCAATGACTGTTACGATACTCACCACATATGACGCCAGTTATCCGATGATAATGACTGTTATAACGATACTCACTGCATATGACGCCAGTTGACCAATTATAATGACTGTTATAACGATACTCACCACATATGACGCCAGCTGACCAATGACAATGACTGTTATAACGATACTCACCACATATGACGCAAGTTGACCAATGACAATGCCTGTTATAACGATACTCACCACATATGACGCCAGTTGACCAATGACAATGACTGTTATAAAATAACGATACTCACCACATATGACGCCAGTTGACCAATGACAATGACTGTTATAAAATAACGATACTCACCACATATGATGCCAGTTGACCGATGACCAGAGAGTCTTTAGAGAATACTTATAGGTACCTTTTACCTTTTCAAATCTTCACTGTTTTTGTTCATGTAGATTGCCTAGTTTATGTGATTTATACGTGGCTTATGAAATTCTTTAACAAATATTACCACGTATTTGTCAGATATTTATTCAGTGGGGCAAATTGCATACAGATGATGTTAGATGTATATTGAAGCTGAGTAATCATTATATAACATAGTACAAGTGACAGAATAAAAGGTTAACGCACAAGTCTGAGGATCTGCTAGAAAGTACATTTAAGCTGTCTAATCCAAGTCTTTAACATTTTTTCTCTTCTTAAAGCAGCTGTACAAGATGTAATTAATCTTTCACAATTCTACTACTAACTACTTTTTGTCACAAACTGTAGCTGTCAAATTAAAAAAAAAACAAGAAACATGTCACTCAGTAACTGGAGAGAAATGTAAATGTACTTACTCTTGTTCTTACGTCCACAGGTCTTCCTACACTCCTTGAGAGTTGCAAAGTTGTTGTCGTTAGGATCGCAGCCTCCCCAGTTGAACTGCTCACACTGGCCAGTCTGGCTGTTGTAGAACCACCGTGGGATGAGAGCCTCACAGGGTCCAACCTTCTTAGGCTGCAGACAGGGGTCAACTGTAGCACATCAATAAGTAACTGGTAACTGTCGCAAATTTGTGGAAACCTAGCTTCTCAACTCACGTAATTCTTCTTGCTATTCTGAGACCGCAAGGGACCTCTATTATTATATCTCTTCAAAAAGCTTCCCCAATATTTAGTTTTTTTTTAGCTTTTAAACTGACACGGAAACCCAAAGTATACATTTGGTGTCTGAAAATAGCAATAAAAATAATAAAAAATGATGCATACATATTTTTACGTATTAATGTGTTCATTTGTCTAGGGTACCATATCTCAAGCCATTTGCTTTCAATATCAAGGCATAAATACTACATATACGTAATAATGTAATAAATATATTATTTTAAGTATCAAGGGTGTTTTAACCGAAGAAACAAAAACAATGAACAGTGTTTTTGCTGCAGTGAGATATAGAATTGCTGCGATATGCAATTAATTGTAAGAAAGCTCTCTAGTACATACTCTCTAGTATTCTCTCTCTAGTAATAACTCTAGTACTTACCACAAGTGTCTTCACACTCCTCCTGAGTTTGAAAGTTGTTGCTGTTACCATCGCAGCCTCCATAGTCGAAAGGTTCACACTCCCCTGTCAGACTGTTATAGAACCAGCGTGGAAATACACCATCACACGGTCCAACATCTTTGGGCTGTTCGCAAGGATCCTCAACTGTAACACATATTGCGGATAACTGGTTGATGGTTATTCACCAGGATGACAAAATCCACATCACTTATTCCTGACAGGAAAAGCTATATGTCACCAAAAAAATCCATACCATGTTCAGGACAAAATTTTTTCTGTACTTATCGTCCCTCATTTAAGTAAAAAATAATAATAATAACATAAAAAACGACGTAATATAATAATGTTTCAATATGTGTTGTAGTCTAATTGAATGTTTAATAAATATTTACATATAAAAAAATGTAGAAATATATAACAGGCAGAATTGAGCTGGTTGCAGCTTCTTGAATCAGACATCCTAATCTTTTAGCAAGCTAGAGGTTGAGAACAGTAGTGCAAGACAGTTTTTGATAATCAGCCTTATTAGTGTGCTTGTTTCCTATCGTTTTCGCCGAAAATGATTATGTTGACTTGAAGTGTGTGAGTAAAACTAAGCATTGCGTTATCCAATCTTCCCTGTTGTATCAATTTATTGTTCAGCATGGGGAAATATGATAAAATATGATACTATGAATCCAAGATTTAACAGTGCTAGTATCTACGTCAGTAAATGAATTTTGTACTCGTACCTGCGTCAGTTCTGTGAATGGTGGCGGTTACCACGAGGCTGATCAGCAACACTTTCCACAGCATGACTGTTGTGTAGAAGTCTGGAGAAAAATGCATCACAGATATGTTTAAATCTTAAATGCTGCTTCTGTAATGTATTCATGATTTGCTGTTCTTAGTTGTTAGGCGTCCAGGTATGAAACCCTAACTCGGGTAATTCGAGTGTGTCAGTAAAATGTGGTGCAAAATATGATATCGGTTCCGGTCCGGGTTCGTTTATAGTTTATAATAATGATAATAACCTTTATTGTACATTCATGCCCTATCGGGCTAAGTACAGGTGGACAGATAAAAAGGTAATATACATGTTTGTAGTACAAACAGCTCTAAAACTACTCTTATTCAGAGGTTCGGCTTTTTCTCGTTTCTTTGTGATGTTAAAAATATAACTTGAAATGGGTTTGTATAGTACAAAATGATCAAAGCGCATAAGAAAGATACATTTTTCAATATTAGACAAGTCTTAGAAGTAAAGAAACGTACTTGTAATATATGTAAAAGATCATTTCTTTCATTACTATATAAACTAAACTAAAGTGGACTTCATCTTCTACTTTGTTTGAGCAAGTCACATGTGTAAAATAGTTTTGGCCAATTGTGTTTAATAACAAGACACAAAAGCCAGCAACGTACAATTCTCGTAAGAAACTCCCAAATTAATCATTTTAAAGAACCCAATGTAATTTCAGGGCAGCAAAATTGTAAATATTGAGTATGTATAGGAGAATATGAATGTGAATTAAATGTAGCCAATTCAAGTGCTTTCTTGATCAACTTGAGAGCACAAACAGCTGAGCATTGCATGGCATGGCGCATGGCTTCTGAAATGTTTGAACCAAACTCTGTTCCAATGTGCGTTCCAACATGTGTTCTATCGTTAATGTGGGGGTACCTAACTGGCCTTTCGGCCGGAAAAAAATGGGAAAAAAAAGCTGGGTTATGTGGGACTTTGGCCTGTTGTACGATCAATAGAAACGCAAAAGAAAAAAGGACAGTACTTCAAACCCCGCTCAGTAAACACTATCCACAACTAAAAATTATCGTGATTTGTTGAATGTTTAACCTTATCTTGCGGAGCATAACAATTGTTGTTTTGCACACACAGTACCGTCTATATGGCACCCTGTATATGTACGATTTGTACGATTTCTCGTGCAACGCATCACACCACAGCGAAACGCAACAAATGCGGAAGTAACTGCAGGGGGGTCTATGATCTAATTAAGACATGAAAATATTGAAAAATGTTGTGGCAGGAATGCCAGCAGGACAAGGGTTAAGGCGATGTGCGGTGTACATGGCGGTACACCACAGGCACTTTAATCGGTCGCCAAATAGTCAAGACGAAGACGTGTGCTCAAACATGACCACTGTGAAGTGTGTGTGGACGCCTCGAATTTAGAGACTACAGTAACAGACCGTTTCTACTGGGAATGTCTGGGGTATGATGTAGATATGCCCCCGAGCACATGTACCTCTGAGTATGTAGACCAAGCCAGAATTAGAAGGCAGAAGGGGGGGGGGGGTGCCCTCCTCTCCCAATTTTCAATGTGATAGAATTGCAAAGGATTTTCTTTGCCTGCTACATGTACTTCAGGTCAAGAGAAAAACACATACATTAGTCAATTTCTGAATACTTGGGTTTAACCAAGACGCAACAACAGTAGTCAGCGACTTCAACTGGATACGACGTTATGATCTGCTCTGTTTGTTTTGTTTGTTGCATACCTGACCTGCTGTGCCCACGCTAAATCCGGCTCTTAATCGGTCTACCTAACGGATAATGTACGGAGAAGAGGAGACGAGAGTGCCTACTGATATCATGTGTCCAGTACCGAGAACATTTAGCCAGGGAAGAGTTCTGAATAAACAGGTACGAAGAAGAAAAATGTGGTCGACGACATAGCTGTTACGGAAAGGAGGGGAGGGGGGTATCTAGCAGCCCACCGACGTACGTATAGATTATTACATTTTAGAGGAACTAAGGAACAGAACACGCATTTAATAAGGTGGATTATGGCTCTCTACGAGTCTTCCCCTGTATCTTGAATATTTGGCCTAGGACAAGAGATCTTGTCCCATGATAGGGGACGAAAGTGTAGAATTTTAGTGCAAGACTGAGTGTGAGTCCTTCAATATAATCATTATAGTGCATTGGGTTGCATATAGTGTTTATTAGTCCTTTACTGTGGCATTGTCGGGTTTTATTTAGAGTAAGTTGTAACTGTTCTGGACCTGTACTGTAGATGAGAAAAAAAGCTACGCATAACACTGAATGATACGTGCTCTTGTCATGCAAGTTAAGCAAGATAATGAATGCAAGATAAGAGGGATAGGACAACGGTGTATTTGTGAAATCCGCAAGTCAATCTATATCAAGGGACTGGAATTGAGCATAATTGTTGGTTCAATATTTCTGACACATGTTTTAGTCGTTTTCTTTAATAGTGCCGTTCATATAAACCGTGTTGATTGAGCGCAGCACCACTATTTAAATTGTACAATTAAGAAAGTAAAAATAGTTCCCCGGTCCCATTAAACATCATGAAAGTTGTGGGATTGGTAATGTATTTCTGTTAAATTTGAATGCAACGGACAAGCACGATTTTTAGGTGTTTAATGGCGTCGAAAAATCAGCAAACATTCAGAACTAGTAGCAATTAAAACACACTGTAAGTTATAAATTGTGTGTTGTAATAACTGTTACAGTAACAATGTGGCAGTTACTAACCGTCTAATGCACTTCAGCAACGCACACAGTACGGTCTTATCCCAACTCTAAACGGCCTGTCTTCTATCTCTAGTGTAGCCCGTCTTAGACGAGAGACACCCGTGAAATGTTCAGGGCTCCGGTACGAACCGCTACGAAGTAAGGTTCTGGACTTTTCATAGAGGTCCATGTCGGCGCATACATTCTTCCTATAGGTCCACGTCATCGCCAACACCCTTTATCAGTTCTCACTATCAGGTGACATCATACAACTCGACGTAGTGAGCTCGTCTGACGCCATGATGTTTTTCTCTTCGTGTGACTCCGTACTGTTGCCGGTAAACAGTTATGTGCATATTGGGTACGTGAGGGAATGATCGTTAGCTTTTATGTATGGCCTTTTTTTGTCGCTAATCCCATCGGTGGCTGGCGACCTTCTCTGGCAAATAGATACTGCCTGGCCAATTTAATACTGTCTTTTTGCCACCAAAAGGGATCTGCTTGGAGATTACGCATTGGGTGCATGTAGAAGGAGCGTTGAAGAGTCCTTTGTATCTGTCTGAAAAGCAATAAAGCAGAGTCCTATCGACCCTGTATGTTATGCTTTAATATAGAATTGTTTCAATGTACACGGTGTTTGTTTTTGAAATAACATCAAAACAGAGATTCCATCTTTAATTATTGTTATTGTGTTACTATTCGAAGCTTCATGTAAATATAACAGACTATTGATTTTCCTCAAATTTGTTGGAGAAGCATAATGTTTTGCCAAAGAGAAATTGTGATCTTTTCTGCATCTTTTCTCCCAGAGGTATTCTTGAAAACACATGTTGAAAACACTCTCATAATCAGTGAATTGAATTACAACCTGCCACTATAGAGCGTACACTCTGGATATTTTCTCATTTTTTTGCGAACTAGGCGAGCGACTGAGTCACAACACGGATGTCCGCTTTGTTTACACTCCTGATATTTTTAGCCTCTACCAGGCAAAGGGATAGTATACCAGAGAAGATCCAGGGCCATAGAATATAGTATACCAGAGAAGATCCAGGGCCATAGAATATAGTATACCAGAGAAGATCCAGGGCCATAGAATATGTCCCGGGATCTTTTTTTGGTATACTATCCCTTTATTTCGACCAATTTCTACTATTTTTCCAGCGATCCGCGGTGCCTGGTTGAGGCTAGATATTTCTATCTCAGTTCTTCTTCAGCATGGTAGAGAGGACTGTTTTTTGCAAATCACGATAACTGGTATTTCTATATGGAATGAATAAAACTGATCTGATTACACATTTAAGGACAACTTTTCTTATTTTAATCACCCCACTTTGCTAGGCAATTTTATTTAAAAAGACATAAGAGATCTTGTAGATATAGACGTAACACAGTAATATAGCACTTGTTCATCCTATAATTTTATACCTCAGTTATCTGACGTTGTGTAGTTGGCCTATGTAGGGCGTGAATATGCCAAAAATTTTATTGCCATTGTAATATAGATTACTATTTTTTGGTGAAGCATAAAGTTGTGGAATTTTTGTTCTTTACCCTTTTCAAGCTGGCATTTTCAACACTATACATGTAGCAACTAGCCTTTAATCAAGTGTAAAATCAGTCCAACGTAAACACCTCGAACTTGCACGCAAAAACAATGGAATTTTTTTCCAGAAATTGCCCTGTTAATTGGCTTTTCTGTGCACGTGGTGCTACACCGGATACTCTCTTGCTATTCTCTTGGTATCGATCTGCAATTGGGGGTCAAAGTGTATTACAATCATTGTTTACCAAAACAGCGGTAGTAACAGAACCCCGATATATAGGGTTTACTGAAAAGGCTGGTGATTACATATCAATACATGAGCTCCCTCGTGAAGTTTATGTGACCAAAACGTTTGAGACGTGAAATATGATGCCATCTTATGCGTGTTTTTGCATAGGTCTGAATGAGAGAGATCAACTGTAGCGTAGTCATCTGAGAACCATCAAATTTTCTACCAATCGTTTTGGAAAGTCTTTAATACCATATTCCATCACTGGATGGAACAACCTGAATTTAGCAATCCGTACTCTTTCGTATCAAAAATTCGTTCAAATCTTTTCAAATCGGTACGTCCTGTAAAGTTTAACTATTTTAGCTTTGGTTCTCGTTATTCCTGTATTCTTATTACCCGACTTCGTCTGGGCACCTGCAGCTTGAATCACAATCTTTATACCCGAGGTCTTGTTACAAGTCCATCCTGTAGCTGCGGGTGTCCATATGAAACGATTGCTCATTATTTATTGCACTGCCCTATATACACCTACCAGCGCTTAGTCCTTTTTGGCAAGCTTTCAAGTATACTTGGTAATATTGTTTCCTTTGTTCGTATGACACCAACTGCAAAATAATGTTAGCCGCACAAAATTATATATTAGAAACAAAAAGATTCTAACTGTATGTGTCTTCTGGGATGGGAGGTTTGTTACTCACGCGAGGTCTCGTGTATTTTTAAATGTCTTGTAAAATATTTTTCTTTCATTGTAAAAGTGGCTGCGAGAATATAAGTTGTACCTAACTTGAGTTCGCAGTCACTTAGTCCATGTCTTTTCATTTGTAATTCTCATTGAGTTTCTGAATAATAATAAAAAAAACTGTAGCGTCTCCCCTGTGTATATAGACAGCGGAAAACCTGCTGTCCTTCTCTTCATAGCAACGGAGGCGTGAAGAGCAGCAACAGTGAGAAAGCGGGTAATGTTCTTGGGTTGACCCTTGCTGTTCTCAGCTTTGTTTGTGTCCGCCACGTGCCCAGTTTTTGTTGTTGTTTTTTTCCAGAATTTCCGGACCCAGTCTTAGCTTCATCATGTCTCTTAACAGTTTACAGTGAGAGTTTTTGGGACGGATAAGTCCTCTTGTCTTAGTACTCTTCTTATCGAAATTCCACACTTTGTGGCATATACAAGCCGGTCTTGGTGACACTGGCTGTAGTCACCAGCAAAGCATTTAGGTATGACTTGCATGACCGTCTTCCTTACTCAGACTCCCCACACCTTGCTTATCCTGCATTTCAATCCGTTTAATGACCGCGTGGTGCTCTGCGTTCTAGCGCTGAGCAAGATCGTCACCAAATGTCATTGACACTTGTCATTCTGTATCTGTATCTGTATAGCCGGTATAACCGCCTTTCGGCGTAACACACCAGCTTCGCAGGCACGCGGAGCGGCGGCAGCTGGCTATATTACACCGATTACACCTAACCCTTGAACTTCTAGCTCTAGACATTGTTTAAAGCTATCTATTGACAGTGCCCCTACTGTACTTGGTGACAGTGAGTTTCACTCTGCGATAGTTCTAGGAAAGAATGAATTTTTGAAACCTCAATCCTTGGTTGATAACTCTGGTACTTGAATGCGTGACTATTTCTTGTTCTCTTCTGGGCTGGTATTAGGCACTTAGTAGTTGGGACATCCACCAGTTTATTAGTCATTTTGTACATCATGCATAGTCTAGACATCTTTCTTCTGTCTTCCAGTGAGGTCCACTGTAGGTTTCTTTTCATTTCCGTGACACAAGCACCTCTTTCATAGTTACCTTCGCCAAGAAGGTTATGTTTTCGTAGGCGTTCGTGTGTCTGTGCGTGTGTGTGTGTGTCAGCACGATAACTCAAGAAGGCTAAAATGGATTGTCTTGATATTTGGTAGGTGGATAGGTCTTCATGAGACGAGGAACTGATTAAATTTTGGGCCCCCTAGCGGCTTGTTATGGTACTGCAGCTGAACTTCCGGTTTTGATATCTCGTGATCTAGACATGCTAGGGTGACGAAATTTGGATGGTAAGTAGCTCTTGTGATGGGAAAGAAGTGATGTGAGTTTGGCTTCCCTAGCGGCTTGCACTGGAACTGCAGGGGCGTTAGTTGAAAAATATTTAAAGGCGGATAACTCTAGAACCGATTGATGGATCGTCGTGATTTTTGGCATGTAGGTAGCTGAAGTGATGCTGAACATAATGATATTATAATTATGCATATATTAATGTAATTCGCATAATTAATGAGGAAATTCTATAAATCAGCTGCATTCCATGATAGGACTATTCAAGCTTGTGACATATGTGACAAGAACGGCAGAAATACAGGCAGATATCGATTATGCAAATGAAGACTTAATTTGCATAATTAATGAGAAAATGTTATATTTACATAGCGGTAACTGCCTGGAATTTCATACTTGGGATATTTAAAAGTTATGTGAAGGTGAACATAATTAAACATAACTTATTCAAATAAGGACCTCATTTGCATAATTTATGAGGAAATGCTATAATGGCATTCTTTGATAAGATAAGACTGTGTTCTGGTGTAGAATATGATCAACAGATATAATTGATGCAAATATAGGATCCTATTTGCACAATCAGGGGGATTAATCTATAATTTCTTACTCATAAGGCTAACATCATTTGGCGAAGGTATGAGATCGTGGAACTCTAGTTGTTCATACAGAATCTTGCAGCTTGATTCTGTACCCTTTCCAATTTGTCTTTGTCTTTCTTTGTATATGGATCCCATACTGTCGCAGCGTATTCTAGGTTCGGTCTTACAAGTGACGTGTATGCAAGTGATTTTACTCTAGTTGGACATGCCCACAGATTACGTTTAATCACTCCCAATGTCTGTATCGCCTAAGTTGTGATATTATTAACATGTGCACCCCACTTCAGTCCGCTTGTCAGCGTGACGCCCAGATACGGATGGATTTTTTTGGTTGCTAAAGCCTGACCACAAAACTGGTAGCTAGTTGCATGTGGTGTTCGTTTGTTTGTTATGTGCATAATGTAGCATTTTTCGGGATTAAACTGCATGAGCCATTTGCTTTGCCATTCTTCCAGGGTGTTAAGGTCTTTTGGGAGAAGTTATAATAAGTCCTATAATGTTACAATCACCATGGGGGCAATAACGGATTTCCATTTGATCTGTAGCTAAAGTCACGAAGCGAGGGAGAGGTGACTTGTCTTTCTTGGGCATCACGGAATGAAAACGTTTACGTCTTTTTTTTCAAAATTGGAACTAGTGTTCCTCATCCATGCATGCGAAGAAAATGTTTAGTTTGCATCGTAATTTGCACTTGAAAGCTAAGCCATGTATTTTATGTTCATTATTTTGTCAACATCAGCTGAAGATACCGTGGGGGGAAAGTTGTCTATTAAGTATTCACACTAGTTCTTCCTTTCCTGCTTGCAATTCGATATGACACTCCTGAAGCAACGAAGAAGGTAAAGATCGAGAAGAGGACTTGTGGAAAAAGGAGGAGACGCAAATCATCAAGTTCTACTTAAAATGCGAGTGTGAGTTCTGAAGAAGAGTTTAGCCAAGGTATGTTAATTTCATTTAACCAGTTATTGAAATGTGATATGCATCGTTCTATCTTTAATATATATTTCTATAAAAGGTAAATAATCTTAGCATCTATAAAAGCTGGCGTGTTACGCCTAAAGGCGATTATATCGGTTATGCATACAAATATAATTGCAAACGGCACAGTAATGTAACGAAACAAACTAGAATACCATAAAAGATACTGATCTTCATTATAAATGATCTTCATTATATGTATATTGTGAAATGAAGTGTCGTTTATTGTTGTTTCAGTTGACATGCAGAAAGATTTTGACAAAATCATCAAAGACGCCAGTCACAAGTGGGACGACCTGGCCCGGAAATTGGAATTCAACGAGAACGATATAAAAGGAATTGAGACATCAAAGGTAGATCAAGACCACAGGTGCAGAGAAATTCTGCGGAGATGGAGAAACAGGGATGGAAGGAAAGCTACTCTACAGGTTCTGAAGCAGGCTCTCATCGACATTGAGGAAAGGCTGACTTCAGAGAGTTTACATGGTAGGTTTCCAGTTTTTTAATTATAAAACAGTCATACTCATTACATGTACATTACCTTACATTTATTCTATTTCATTACATGTCTATGTATCTTTTACTGGACAGATATGTTCAATATGTAAAGTCTAAGAAAAAAAAAGTCGAAATTTTCAAAAAATACAATATTTTCTAATTTTTTTTGCTAATTTCCTAGGCCAGAAAAGAAGAAAGGAAAGGAAGAGAAAAAAGGAAGCAAAACAACCCCTCCAAGAGGATTCATCAGAGGAGTCGACTTCCATGGGAAATAGCAGTCCTGGTGAGTTCGACACTTTCTCATTTCTTTAGTCGATGGTATCAAAGGAAAGTATTCAAGCAAGAAATGGTCAAGATACAACTTCAAGGAAATATGGCATCAATAAAATTGCAATACGTATTAACCCTAAACAGTACACCTGGGGTCCGCGCGGACCCCAGCACTATATATTCTGTAATATCTTTTTTGTTTCTAAAGATTTTTTTCTGAAATTTTAGGTAATTGTCACCCACAAAGTTGTCTCTCAATACAGTGCAGAAAACTCCGTTTCTACCATTTATAAAAAAAATCATATCTGATTTTCTTTTGGGGTCCGCGCGGACCCCAGCCGGCTTTCGATCATAATGGATACACTGGTGTTCTTATACATTACTTTCTTTCCGTTTTTATATGTTTTTATGCACTCATCGTATGTCTACCAAGTTTTCAGAGAATGGTGTAGTAATAGAATTAAATTTTAATAACTTTGGTGTAATTATGACGTCATATGACGTCAGAGATAATAATATAGTCCGCCATATTGGATTTTGACCAATGACGTCATCAAATTAGCATATTCTATGCATATTAAATGATTAAACTTATATCTAATTATGTAAGATGTTATTAATGTTGGAAAAGAAGTATAATTTAATTTAAAACTAATAAAATTTTTATGTTTAAACCAAAATTACTTCTATTAAAAAAAAATTGCCTGCTAGAAACCCGTTGCCATGGCAACACAAAAAAAAACATCAACTTACTAGTATTAAACTAATATGAACTGTTTTCCAGAGACATTTTAGGAAAGGTCTCCAAATTTGATACTTCTAGCGCAAGCCGTTTAGCCGCTATCTGAGATCAAAGTTGGGCCTCAAAAGCCCCTTCAGTCTGAAATGGGTTTAAAAATCGGGTATTTCTTCTTGTCTTCTTTTCTTCACCAAAAAATAGAAAAAGTTCAAAATGTATGATTTTTGTATGTAATGTGGTTACAGAGGTTCCCACATCAGTTTGCAAAGCAATTGAGCTGGTAGCATGTTGATAATTTCTAAAAATTAGCAAAAAATTGTTCTGGGGTCCGCGCGGACCCCAGGTGTACAGATTAATCAGTCCGGGAAGGTGTACTGTTGAGGGTTAAGAATGACCAGAAACATTCATAATTTGTTCATTTGGTGTGACAATCGCGATTTTTCAATAACATCTCTTGGCAATGTACGTAATCGTTGCTGTTATATTTTTTACCATGACTACTACAATAATGTAACTTTAAACGATTGGCACTGCTGGTAAGACAATACATAAGATTCTAAAGATGACAATAGTTGCAATGATTCGACTGTACATTTGAATATCCAGACAACAATAAATCGATTCACATTCGTAGTAGTGTTGCATACATCGTGATGTATATATAGGAAATAGATAAACAGTAAGGTGGTGTAAATTTACAGACCCTTCAGTCCAACTAACGTGCATGAATTGTTCATTTATGCAGAGTTACAGGAGCCACAACCATCCACAAGCAAACGTAAAAGGAAGAAAGAACGTCTCCAACAATCTCCGGCAAAGAAAACGAAGGCTGAATCTGATTCTGAAGATGAACAACCACACAAAAAAGGTGAAAGATAATTCGATCAAACAACTATAGAGACAACGTTGTTCATTATGTGTATGCCATGAGGCAAGGTGGCCATAAGTTCTTTTTAGTCTAGGTGTTAAGAAAAAACTGCAGATGATGAAATGATAAAAAGAAACACACAATTTGAATTTTGTGATTTTGTGCAATTACGTTGTTAGGGATATACAGAAAAGAGAAAAGTGTGAATTTTTTACCCACTTTTAGGTGCTATTATTTGCAACATGTTTTGCTACACATTAAATGTGTTTCATTTAAGTAGACGGGACTAATGACTTACGATATTTATGTATTGATGTGTTCACAGGGTCGTCTTCGACTTTGTTTGACTCGTCTGACTACGAAGCCGACGATCCTGACGCGGAAGCTCTAGCCAGGGAACGCAGTGTCCGTTTCAAAATGTTAAAGATGAGTAAAAACGTTTTCAATCCAGACACTGTGGCAGACCCTGACAAGTTTGAAGAAGCAGTTGGGCTCTTCCGAGAACACGTAGGGGAAATGCTTGGAACAGACGAGTCAGGCAGCATGTCGGAAGAACACAAGCGAGCTTGAACAAAAAGTAAAATTACAACTGAGAAGTAAAGCTAGGAGGCGTAAGGATGATGTCCATGACGCAGCGTTTACGGCAGCAACATTAAAAAACTTATCGAGTTACAATAAAGTGTTTCGCTGTTTTCAGGAATTCAATGCTATTCTCAAAAGTATAACGCGTGGCTGCCTGCTCTGCAACATTGAGTTTGAAGATATGTCCTGCTATCGGACGTTTTTAGCTGCTTACAGAAACGGACGATTGTCGGACACCCTGACCCGGGAACTGATCACAGACGACATGAGGGCAGCAGAAGGGGAGGATCTGTACATACACGTCACACTGCTTGGAGAGGAGGAGGAATGTCAGGACGAAAGTTTTTCTGATGAAGGTAAGATTGACTTGAACCAAACATGGTGATAGCCTTTTATCACATCTGCTCAAAAAGGGCGTCATTACACTCACTTTTGCACTAGATGGCATGTGGCCGATGCCTGCAATTATTGCAAATTAAATCTCTCCACCAGACTTATGTTTAAACTGCCTACAAATCATTTGATCCTACACATTGATCCATTTTTACATGTTAACTCTGTCTTTTGGGAGACCCATCTGCTGTTTTGTTTTATGTTTTGTTATTTGTTTATTCATTTGTATTCTGTCTGTAGATAGTGAGACTAAAATTAGTGATTTGCTAGAGTTGCTCACACAGGTGTTTTGTATTCTTTATGTTGTTTGATAAAACCATTAACCACCTCCTAAATTTTGTCAAAACAGAAGTAACTTTGGAAGCAGAACAACCATCTTTTGCCACAAAGACTGATGATTATCTGGTCAGGGAGCATCACCATCGATACACAGAATCACACTTACACAGCGGCACAGAACACCACCTGGACACAAAACAAAACGTAGGTTCAGAGCAACACATGGACCCCAAACAACATATAGACCCAAAACAACAAGCAGAAACATGGGCCGGTGCTGGCGTCCAACAACAACAACAGACTGGAGTGTTACATCAGGCACAGCAACACGGGGAGCCCTTCTACCATGGTAAGAACTAACTTTAACTAATATTGTAATATTATTTTCATGGTTTTTATTCCCATGCATATGATGACTTTGCAATGAGGATAGATATTTAAGATGACTCTGAATTCAACGTATATTTATATAAATTTCCTGCAATTTATCATCTCTTTACAATGTTGCATTGTATTGATGTTTAACCAAGACAAAATTCACATGTGTCTTTTTGAAGAATCTACACTTATCTTAGATACCACCATATAGACAAATGTATTCCAACGTTAAGCATTTTTTTAGTATTTATTGTGCTCTCTTTTTCAGAGACCAATGTACCCGCGGCGAAGAAGACACGGAAACACCCGTTTGTGCTACAGATAAAACCAAAAAATGTCAAGGTTTGTAAGGGATGCAGACGGAAGTTTAGGGAGCCCGATCCTCCAACTAACATGGTCATTCAACACTACGGAAACTACCGTTACTGGGACAAAAGAAAGCGGTCATATGTGTTTAGCAAAGGGAACGGGTACTTCCATGCCAATGCGGCTTGTATCATGCCAATGTTTCCGGACTTTGACCCACGGGAAGTAGTTGTGCCACAGTCAACATTGGAGAACCTGACACAAGCCCATGTGGACTATTGCAGACAGTATGGCATACTGTTAGCCTTGGGATCCTTTGAAGTCCCTCGACGTTGATTGTGGTTCTATTCATGCCTTGACATAATAATCTGAGAATCGTACTTACGTTTTCAATGTTTTGTTAATTGCACAATTGAGCTTTTATGATGTTACATGCATATTTCGCATTTAGGACATCAAGATTTCTGTCAGGGTAGCATTTTAATAACTTAAATATAGCACTTGTGATAAGATATGTAATGCTTGAGTGAACCTTAATGGGGGGAAAGAAGGATGGACTGATCATGGTGTTTAGCTAACCCAGTACCTCATCCGTGTAAACCAGCAATATTGTATAATTGGGATTATTGACAATATGAGAATCCCAGGACCACTGCATTTTGGTGGTTTAGTTATACACAGTGCAGTACAATAGGAGAAGAAAAAAGAGAAATAAGAAAAAAACAGACAAATACAGGGGCTGAGTCATTTAATTTGTTTTTAAAATCATTTCAGTCCATCCCAATTTATTTCATATTTTAGTTAAAATCTATTGCATAAACGTTATAGAGATTGAAGTGCGGTTTGTTGGTCAAAATACCATTTTTCCAACGATTAGATAAGCTTAAGTGCTGAGACCTGTCAGTTACGGTAGAAAATAGCAAAGCTTCTTATCTACATAGCTGATTATACGTTCGCTGTTATACGGGCATCACCGGACAGCGGATCGATAGTAAAAGCCACAAACTGCTACTACTTACCTCTAAATGCATTAGTCAACGTGTACGTGGTGTTGTTAACCTCGTTATGCACTAGATCGTGTTTTACGATAAGACTTCAAACAAAGTACAGGCTTAGTATCAGATTTATTCTAGTGAAATAGGTTGATTGAATGTACAACCGTATGGGTAATTAACCTACTTTACTGGAAGTCCGTAGATAAATACAAATATATTTAAATGTTAATTGTACTTTTTTGTTGTGTGGCGCTGTTAATATAAGTTGAAAACTTGAGTACAGCGCCACACTGTCCTTGTTATGTTTTTATGTTTTGGTGATTAAAAAAAATACAAATATTTCTCGTGGACTCGTGTACAAATATTTCTCAGGACTCAAAAGTATTATGGTTTTTGTGAAGTATAATTTCCTGTCTACACAACGTCTACACAACGTCCTTGGCCTAGTACATAATGTGTTTTTCTCCGAGTTACTAACTACTAGTTTGGTAAACAAGTTTTACTTTATAACGTGTGACTAAAAATTCTGCTTAAAAATATATCATTTCAACTGGTTGGAAACATGTTCTTTATTAAAACACTCCGGCAAGTGTCAGTGTCCTTTTTACTTAAAAAAAAACTAAACTGTAAAAAAACAATGCCAACTCCAAGCAACAGTGGTGGAAACATAAACATTTGACTACTCTCTTAAACTATTGGAAAGTTTATATCTTCCTGACATAGATTATAATATTTACCAAGAATTCTTAATGGCATTTTCTAACAATGTTTAGAAATTAGCTATGTTTGTGAAATAAAATACAAAGTATTGTGTTCACCCCTTAGCGTGGTTAATGGTATAGTCGGATATTCGTTTAAGTGATTTAGTTCTTTAGTTCTTTCTGTACGCCATTCGGTCAGCCCAGAGGCCTGACTACAAGGCAAGAACAGTGTTTGCCCTGGTCTCTTATTTGAGATTTAGCTATAGGATTTTCAGAAGGAAGAACCGGGAGTGGTGCGACCGCAACTTGCCAGATCTATACCAGGTACGTACACTACCACTTAATTGTTATTTTTTCATACGTTTGTTAAAGTTTACTTCCATTACACATATGCGTGGATTGTTTCGTTTAAACTAAAAATGCAAGCTTTAGTGCTAGAGATTAACCTTTATTTCTAGGAGCTCTATGAAATGTGGAACAGAGGATGGAATGCCTCTTTCATGGATGGATTGTTCAAGCATTTTATGCCATCTAGATCATAGAAACTACGATATAGCCCAAACAATCTTAAATATGAAATAGATTTACGCTTGTTTAGAAAATTAACTGGACATTTTTGGTAGCCGCGGATCTGGATCAGAGAAGAAATGTCCTACGTATAAAGTAATATAAGGCCGTGCACTGCCTGTGCTTTTTATGCGCTTTCACTGCGCTCTCTCGGCGTTCTCACAGCGACGGCATGAGCCGGTTCATAAGCGAGACCAAATCATCAATTCATGAACATATTGTGACTCATATACTGTATAGATAGTAGTTTAATTTGTAGTAAGAAATGTAATAAGATAGTTTAGTTTTGTAGTATTGTTGTATTACTGCCACACATTGTACCATGTACGATTGTCGAGCAATAAAGTTCATTCATTCATTCATGTGACGGCGCTCATGGCATTCTGCGAGCGCTTTCTTAAAGACCTCGGCGCTCCTACACCGCTCCGACAAATTTCAGTGAAATAGGTTTAAGGCGCGGTCACATTTCCAAACCCGGGGCCGGGCCGGGCAGTCGTTTGGAACGAAAGTTTTGATATGAGACAGCAACATAACACAAGAAATGTTTTAGAAAATTAAACATGAGCACTACGTGTGTATACTCTTAATACAAATTGTTTATTTTTCGTTCGCGCTAGCCCAGCCGGGCCCCGGCTTGGAAATGTGGCTGTGCCCTTACAGAAAGCGGCTAAGTGCCAGGAGTAGTTTGTAACTGCCACAAAATGAAATGTGATTTTATTTCAAAGGCTGTTAACGTTGGTATTCTTCACATGGTGTAAATGTGCTTATCAAAGAATCAATGATGTCAATAAATTTCCATTAGGTTTATTAGTAACACGTACTCTCTTTAATTTAGTCAAAATTGAGAGAAATAAGAGCAGATGATTGAATAATGATTAAATTATGCACGAGAAACATGGAAACCGTGGTATCGGGACATGTAATTATCTAGTCTTTTACTGATAGAGATTAAAGATATGATAAATTACGCGGCCATGTGACCGCATGGGCATTTGGGAAGAGGCAAACTCAATTTTATGCTCAATCACACACATTTGTTATCCTTATCTGTTTTTTCACAGCGAGTTGCATCTTTTCTTATATGGTTATAAACACACTAAGAGACCAATCTAACTAACAACATAAAGCCCATGTGCCTACAGCATAGGGTAAAAAGTGATGTTAAAATTTCTAGCGTCTTGAAATATTTCTATATGTACAATTCGTTGTTTGTCATATGGCAATGTGTGATTAAAGTCTATCATTTGATATACTGTACTGTGTGAATTAAGAATTACAAGTATAGAAGATGACAAAATTACATATTACCACATTACGAAAATATAATAAATAAACGATATTCGTCTTCTGTTAGCCCTTGCTTGACATAATTATGGGGGAAACACAGGCATTTTATCTAATCTGAGATTTTTTTCCTGCCGTTACAACAATTGGCAGAATTAAGAAGTAAACTCATGTTCAATTTTGTAAAACAGTGTTAGCCTTGGACCTGGTTTTGTTACGTACTACGATAAATTACCTAGTTATCATTTGTTAAAATAGGTAAATGTTCTGAAATGGTAATTTATCGTTTTTTTAAAACATCTTTACCCCTATAAACAGTACACATCATGTGGAAACTGGTGTGGCTTGGCGTGATCGGTCCCTGCCTACTATCTAAAGGCGTGTCCTCCCAAACACGTAAGTACCCTTGGTGGACTACGCTTATTGTTACTTCATTGTGTTTTCTATTTCTTGAATAATTGCTAAAGATCGGCATAAAAATGTACAACACAGCCAGTACTAAATAATTTGGGACTGAAATAGGAAATGATTTTATCCGATTTCAGAAGTTCATAAGCTGGTAGATATTTACAGACCACAGATAAAAAAACACGTGTGTTTCAAGCCCATACCTACATCAAAAAAGCAAAATAGATGTACTTTTGTATTGAAGCAGCCTTAAAATATATACCGTGGGGACGTATGGCGTAGCGGCAACGTGCTCAACTCGGAATTAACCAAGAGGTCCCGGGTTCGGGTCCTGACATGCCACCGATCTCTGGCTCTTGGAAAAGGCACTTTACACAACTTTCCTCACTTAACTAAAAAAAGACTATTGTCCTGTCCTGTCTTTGTCCTTTGCGTTCGTGGCGGCAGAAAAAAAGTTGATATAACTTGAGTGTGCTGTCACCATGTCTAGTGAAATTTTGGAATACACCCATTTGCGTTTTTCTTTGCACTTTACCTGCCACTGGGGTGTTTGAAATTTTTATTTTATAATACTGCTCATGTGTAAGACTGGCAAGTGGCCACAAATCCTAAGTAGAAAATTGTTTTTTTTTTACAAAGTTCGATTCGTTAGCCATGAAAATACTAGCTATGTTATACGCCATGTCGACAACACATATGTGATTTATTCTCTTTTTAGTGTGCAAAAGTCTAACTGGTGACAGCGGATCATTCAATAGCACAAACTACCCAGACAACTATCCTGACGATCATGACTGCAAATACGAGATCAACGTCACTCCGCCCAAGGTCATCAAGTTGACCTTCACTGATTTTGACGTTGAAAAGAATTACGATTTCGTGTACGTCTATGACGGAAGTACAACTAACTCAACGTTTGAGATAGGTGAGAAAATATTTTTCTTCACAACTAGGAGGGCCTAAAATGTGACAGTTTAAAGACTAGAAAGGTAGCATTCGCAAATGCATAATGTTTACTATCGCATATTGTATGATCTGTTAAGTCTTATTTAAACAAATGCATATACATATGACCAAACAAGAGTCTAAATCCTTCCTGATATAAAATTGCAACATGATATGACCCAACATTAGTTACCACGGTGATAGACTCTGTTTTAGGTTATCGACCTTATTACGTCGATGAAGTTTAGACATCCAGGAAATAAGATACGGCAAAAAGCAGTTACTCAATCAACTGGATTTCCAAAATCATACCAGTTGCTTGAGTAACTGCTCTTTGACGTGTTAACCTTATTGCTTTGGAAAAGAAGAAGAAGAGGAAATAGAGCAAAAATAAAATGTTTTCCTTCGGTAAACATAGATATGAATAATATAGAGCATGCTCTATCATCGAGAACGATGGCGTGGGTATGCAAAATGTTACCTTGCTATTGTTGTTTTTATTTATAAATACTTGAGGGGGGTCTGTTTGTTGCCTATATGATAATTTTCCATTGACCTCCGTAAGGCAACATTTCATTGTGATTCAATTGAAACATCAGCTGTGGGTCAAATGTATGTTATAAACTGTGTCGGCCCCCGTCGCGGTTGAGTGGTAGGTGACGTGCTTTAATGTAATTGTTCTCACTTTACAGCCAAGCTGACTGGTACCGAAATTCCCGGTCCCGTAACCTCAACCGGCAGCTCCATGACAGTTCGACTCCTCACTGATGATGGGAAAAACCGGAAGGGATTTCTCGCCAACTATGAGGCTTTAGATAACGGTACTATCAACAGCATTAATTATCAATTTCAACAAACTAAGTGTCATTGTGAATATAATGGATACAATTATGTTCATATCCTGTCATAATTAACCAATTTAGCCAATTTAGAACTGGATTTTCTTTTTTGGCCAAGACTTTGCGTTGTATCTAAATAACCCCCCATTGTTTAATGTCTTGTCTTCTTGTCCGGTTAACCCTCAACAGTACACCTTCCCGGACTGATTAATCTGTACACCTGGGGTCCGCGCGGACCCCAGAACAGTTTTTTGCTAATTTTTAGAAATTATCAACATGCTACCAGCTCAATTGTTTTGCAAACTGATGTGGGAACCTCTGTGTCCACATTACATACAAAAATCATACATTTTGAACTTTTTCTATTTTTTTGGTGAAGAAAAGAAGACAAGAAGAAATACCCGATTTTTAAACCCATTTCAGATTGAAGGGGCTTTTCAGGCCCAACTTTGATCTCAGATAGCGGCTAAACGGCTTGCGCTAGAAGTATCAAATTTGGAGACCTTTCCTAAAATGTCTCTGGAAAAAAATTTAATATTAGTTTAATACTAGTAAGTTAATGTTTTTTGTGTTGCCATGGCAACGGGTTTCTAGCAGGCAGTTTTTTTTGAAAATAGAAGTAATTTTGGTTTAAACATAAAAATTTTCTGAGTTTTATATTAAATTACACATCTTTTCGAACATTAATAACATCTTACATAATTAAATATAAGTTAAATCATTCAATATGCATAGAATATGCTAATTTGATGACGTCATTGGTCAAAATCCAATATGGCGGACTATATTATTAGCTCTGACGTCGACGTCATAATTACACCAAAGTTATTAAAATTTAATCTATTACTACACCATTCTCTGAAAACTTGGTAGACATACGATGAGTGCATAGAAACATATAAAAACGGAAATAAGGTAATGTATAAGAACGCCAGTGTATCCATTATAATCGAAAGCCGGCTGGGGTCCGCGCGGACCCCAAAAGAAAATCAGATATAATTTTTTTTATAAATGGTAGAAACGGAGTTTTCTGCACTGCATTGAGAGACAACTTTGTGGGTGACAATTACCTAAAATTTCAGAAAAAAATCTTTAGAAACAAAAAAGATATTACAGAATATATAGTGCTGGGGTCCGCGCGGACCCCAGGTGTACTGTTTAGGGTTAATAATGATTTTTAAAGACAAAATATAAAGTACATTTGGTTATTATAAATGTGCTATACATAAAAGCCGAAGCATATTCAATTTGGTTCTAGAGCAACTTAAAATATTACACTTACCTTACTTATGGTTATGATATTTTCTATGCGTTTTATTGTAACTTTTTCACTGAAAATGATTTGAAATAAATGTGAGCTTTATTTTTAATGCATGGTTTTTTTGGCGCAGTAAAATGTGTAGAGAAATGTTATTGGATATATTTTAATGCATTTGTCTTTCCCATTAGTTTGCGAAAGCATAACTGCTGACAGTGGATCATTCAGCAGCCCAAACTACCCAAACTACTATCCTCACGACCATGACTGCCGATACGAGATTTCTGTCACTCCACCAAAAGTCATCACGTTAACCTTCACGGACTTTGTAGTAGAGAACGACTATGACTTCGTGTACGTGTATGATGGAAACACAACTGACTCCACATTTCAGATAGGTAAGAAAAAAACTGCTGGTAATGGAATTTGACTCAAATTTAACTTAATTGCTATTGGTGAACAAATATATCCGTGGCATAAGACTAGCCCCTAACTAGCTAGTATTCTTAGTCGGTTGGTGTTCGGAGAAAGGTTTTGATTGTGTGACAGGGCATTGGAATAGGCTTACTGGGGACAGCCCACTATTGGAATTCCAGCCCCTATTGGAATATATAGAAAACATCTAAGAACTGAGCTGTCAACAATCACCTACTTGAGTGTTCAACTATTGCAAACACACATTGACAGGGTAGTCCAACTTCCAAATCGTCCATTTAGTCCAAAAATTTCACTTTTTTCACTCAGACTGGTCCCTCTGGGCATGCGCCAATTGGTGACCTTTGCCCTACCAAGTTGGTGTGTACAGATTCTTTACTCCTTTCACGGCCTTGGTCTTTTCCCCAGTATGAACACAGTATTATTCATGCACAGTATGATACACAATTTTGTCTTACAATGTGGACTACACTTATCTTTAAATAGTTACCACATCCTTGTAGCAAAAAGCAAGTACTGTAACAAACCATTAGACTGTGGAAAAGAATAAAACTCAGTATGTATTTCGATTCAAAGTCCGATCCCTCAGTAACTGCCTACATAAAATTTCTACAGCTCTCTAACCTCTATCCTACAGCTAAACTTACTGGGACAACTATCCCCGATCCTGTAACGTCTACTGGGAGCTTTATGACTGTTCAACTTGTCACCGATGCCGCAGATACCGCGATAGGGTTTCAGGCCATCTTTGTAGCTGAAGATAAAGGTACTACAAACTAATTATCAACTTGCGCAGTGTATACATTATAGTTGTGTTCAAGGAGTTAACGGTAACTGTTTTATGTCAAGGAAAACATGTATACCATCTGGTTATGCATTATTCATGTACTTTTTGTAGTTCTGAGGTCAAGGGATTTATTCTTTTGTAGACCTAAGATGTATTTGTAGACCTCAGAAGTAAAAGAAAGACTACGTCTAGTGTGATGATAGCTCCGCCCTTTCCTTTTTACCATGTTATCTAAAAGTCACTGTTTACCATGCAAGGGAAACAACGCAAGTCGTCAGCAGTCAAGGAGGTCATGTAATGAAAACACCTGCGATTGCTACCACATGCATACTTGTTCAATGATGTCCTCCCCTAGGGCAGATTGAACCCGACCGTATCAGTTACAACCTAATGGCAGTGTAGAAACAGACGCGCGGACTCGTGGGTGTAACAAAAACAACTACATTTATCATAGACATTTAAACGTGTATAACGTTATAATAGATGGAATCATCTTTGACTATCGTATTTTAATTTTGTCTGAATTTTTATTCTTAGTGTTTTCCGAGTGTGCTATTGGCGAGTACCGATGTGCTGACGGTGTGACCTGTATAGACGCCTGGAAACGGTGTGACGGAAACAACGACTGTAGAGACAACAGTGATGAGGATGAAAGTCACTGTGGTGTGTAATGTTTCTAATCTAATTATTAACTAGAAAGGTAACATTTGCAAAGCAAATGGATAATGTTTACCTTCGCATATGGTTTGCTTTTCTTACTCAAACACATGTACATGCATATGTATGGTGAGACAGGAGTCTACATCCCTTCTATAAAATTGCAACATTATGTAACCCAACACCAGTTACCATGGTGACAGACACCAACAAATCAGGTCATTGGCCAGGTTAGAGGTTAGTGTTTGGAACAGAAGAAGAAACGTAGTAAAAACAATATGTTTTCCTTCGGTAAACATAAAGATTTAAGCATTAAAGTACAACGAATTAGAATTAGGTTTTTGTCAAAGACTTTGAATTAGCAACGTTACATGATGTTTAAAGTTAATACTTTTCATCCAACATAAAGACATCTCTCACCTAGAGCTTTCGACCAGTCACTCTGGTCTTCCTCAGTAGACTGACCCACTGAAGCTTGTCACGTGGGCCCATCAACCTTCATTGATTCGCGACGGGGGCCGACATCGTCTACAAGATACCTTTGACCGAGTGTCAAAGTAGCCACGTGACAAGCTTCACTGGGTCAGTCTACTGAGGACCAGAGTGACTGGTCGAAAGCTCTAGGTGAGAGATGTATTTGTGTTGGATCAACAGTTTTAACTTTAAACATGTAACTACCAACACAGATGAACTTTCATGATAGTAGCGTTACATGGTGTTACTTCTTTTTGCTTCTTCCAGCGTGTCAAGATATTCCATCGTCCTTGAAGATGTGCAGGGGCCTTGAGTACAACAAGATGACCCTTCCCAACCCGCTCAACTACACTGAAACCACGGTAGCCCAAGTTGAGAAATTTTTAGAGTTCAGTGACCTCAGGAACCTTACAGAATCAGGCTGTCACCCCCGTGTTAGAGACATCGTCTGTGCCACTATCGTGCCGCGCTGCGAGTCCAGGTACACCCTTCGATACATATATAATAAATCCATGACCATTGGCATGTTGTTGCTAACACTTACCTTTTTTACCTTCTCTAGTATTGGTAAGGTTCTCTGAACAAAAAAAATGGAATATAAAAGGAAAAAGGAAATAAAAATGATATAAATATAAAATTGGTAAAACAAAAAAAAAATGTGAAAAAAGTACCTGTCAAAAAAGCATTTTCGATACTGTCTGTATAAATTAGTAATTCTTTGTTCATAGAAACAGCCCGGCCGGGCCAGCGGTTTTAGAAATGTGGCCTTTGCATGACTAAGTGTATAAAAGCCAATTCAATACACTTCAAATGCCTCTTATCAACCGATTGGTATGCCTACCTGTGGTGTTTTAAAAGTAGAAACAGTCAACATTACATAGTAAAACGTTAAACTTTATTCCAACACACAATTTACAGAGATCAAATTTTTAGCGACCACTGTCGCCTTCATCAGGATAATTAATGACCAATCACTTCACAACGTGATCTCGCGAGAGTTACGGAGTTACTTTTAAAGAGGCATTAAGGAGGCTATATATATCAGAGCACTTCAGCCTTCACAATAGAGATGGTGGACGGTATAAACTCCCTGGCACTTTTGATCAATTGCTTACGTCACGTATCAGTAAAGTCTCGTGTGAATAAGGTCACGTGCTTGTAAACCGTAACTCTCGCAAGATCACGCAAGGCCAGAGTGGTCGCTAAAAATTTGATCTCTGTAAATTGTGTGTTGGAATAAAGTTTAACGTTTTACTATGATTACTACTAACACAGATGAACTTTCATGATAGTCAACATTACCCTTCACGTATTGGTATTTTCTAGTCCGAACCCCCGGCAACAGCTGCCGTGTCGTTCTTGGTGTGAAGAAGTGAAGTCCTCGTGTGAGGAGGAAGACTCGTGGTCAGCTTTTCCAAGCTGTGAGATTTTCCCCTACACCAACTGTAACAACGTCGTGACTTCTATGACTGCGGATGGTGGTGAGTCGATTCATTAAAGTGTATGTAATCTAAGTAGTTTCAAAATGAGCGGGACAATGACAAAGTTTCATTACCAAACGGTATTGGTATTTTCTTATACACGATGAGTACTTCTCTCGACTTGCTTACATTCTGATATCTATTAGACACTTTCATAGTTTTGAAACGAATCACCGCGTCTGGCCGCTATATATAACCAAAACGCACTACATTCTGTGTTGTTGCCAACTGATTAGGCTACATAATATAGGGGCGAGAAAAAGTACCTTGGACAGAAAATGTGTCTAATAGACAACGAAACTAAAATGAGGTGAAAGAAGTACTGGTTGTGTTTAAAACAAAAATCCCAACATCTTTCATGTTCTAATTTTTTTGAAATTATTTCCAACGTTTCAGTTGAGTGTTATGATGGAAATGGTGTAAACTACAGAGGAGACGAGGCAAAGGGGCCTGTAGCGGGGGTAACCTGTGAACGGTGGGACAGTGACACATACTACAAAGAGACCTATCCCTGGGCAAACCTCGTGGATAACAAATGTCGCAACCCAGACGGTGACCCGAATGGACCATGGTGCTACACTTCAATTGGATTTCAAATCTGCGACATTATTCCTTGTAACGGTAAGTAATCATCAACAATAATTATTTAACCCTATCTAGACCGGGCTTTTTTGGGGGGCATGGTGGGACCGAGGGGGGGGGGGTCATTTGATACTTCATGTCATATGTCACCCATTATATATATATATGCAATGCTTTTAACTTTAAATAAAACTGATACTGATATAAACCTGTTTTTGTAAAAAGAAATGGAAGTATTGATAAAATTTTAAGGAAAATAATATGTATATACCTGTTCTAATGATATGTTCGGCCATCTTTGATTTTGGCCAATGACGTCATCAAATTAGCAAAAATTTTGCATTTTTAATAATAAAATGCACATAAAATTATATGGGATGTTATTAATATTAGAAATCATGTGTAACTTAACATAAGACCCATAAAATTCTATTGTTAAAACGACAATTACTAAATTTAGCGAAAAAATACCTCTCAGAAAGCTGTCAACACAAAAATTATTTCAATGATATAGAATTGTTGCCAACAAAATTGTCGGAAAAGTCACCAAGTTTGGCCGTACTGGCGCCAGCCGTTAAGACGCTATGTGACATCAAAGTGGGCGCGGACACTTTTAGCCCCCCCCCCCCGGTCTAGATGGAGTTAACTCGGAATTTATGACAAAATCGCTTGGTCTAGCATTCTGACCCAAGTGATGTAGACACGTGGTGCTGACATGTGACGTCAGCACATCGTCAAAGTTTTTTGGAAGTCAGTAACGTCCGCCGTCCCAGCTGGGAGAAGGTTGTATAAAAATTAAATGATCATAGTTAAGCAGAAACACGGGTTGTAGTACATGTTGATATCTTCATATCGTTAAGCTTTTTTTCTCGTTCTTTCAGGAATAGGCTGCAAGGATCCAGGAAAACCCCAGTTTGGAAAGAGGAGTCCCGTTCTGAAGTTTTACCATCCTGGGCGGGACAAAATCACCTACCTCTGTAATGTGGGATACAAGTTCAAGGATGACTCCCCGCCAAACAAAGCTAAATGTGTATATAATAACGATACAGGAGAGGCCGAATGGGAAACAGAAAAACCGGACTGTGAAGGTAAAAAGAAAAAAAAAAACTTATATACTCCCCCATTCTGTTCGAGTTTTCAATCTTTAGAGACGTTGTAGTCCATTCAAATTTGTCTAAATGTTTTATTGAGGCCTAGAATACACGACATTATTAGTAAGTATAAGAAAAGTAAACTTACATCAAATCAACTTTATTGCTCAACAACTGTAGCTGGTACAATGTATGGCAAAGAAACAACAATGGTACATACACAAACTAATACTAAAATATAATTCTAACCAGCTAGTCCAAAATAATACTAAGGCTAATCTATGGTGTTTTCTTAGGAAGAGTATTATTAAACTTGAAACAGCAATGTGACAAGGCAACAAATGTACACATATATTCTTTGATGATGTACATCCTCAGTGCAGTTTAAAAATACACACTTGACCATAAAGATATAGTCCTCCAACTAAATATCCGTAGAGTAAAAAAGTAGTATCCGTAATCTAGAGCAGAAAACACCAAAGATTTTCGTAATCTACAATAAACAGACTAACTTCAATATTTTGATTGTTCCTTTTAGTTGATCAAAAAGTCAAGCTCCAAAAGGACCTTCTGAGTGCGAATGTCTACAACAAGGCGACGTCTCCAACAACTAGTCTGGTAATAAAGGCATATGTTGTCAACGTCGTTCGCTTGGTAAGTGGTAATTTTTTCCGAATGTTTTAATGTCATACATAGATGTGACGTAACCCTTGTCCTGCTGAGCGCAACATATGTCGTTCTGCACATACAGTACCATCTATATAGCATCCTGTATAGGTACTCGTACGATTTGGGGGTATTTCTCGTGCAACGCATAACGCCGCAGCAAAACGCAACGAATGCGGAAGTAACCATGCCACTGCAGGGATAAAAATGGGGGTTTATGATCTAATTAAGACATGAAATTATTGAAAAATATTGTGCCAGGAATGTCAGCATGACAAGGGGTAAGAAGCAAAAATGAGACAGAAAATATGAATAGTATTAGCTTTACAAAGGAACATTTTGTATGCATTTCGCTATTTCATAATTCTTCTTATCTGAATCTACAATCAAGTTTACATTAGAATTCGAAGTGATTATGATATTTATTGCCAGATTTTGTGTTTGCCAATGTGTAAGAGTTTTGTCCCTGATATTAAAATGGTAATAACGTCTCTTTATTCACGTGTGTTAATTCTTTTTAGGATGAAAAGGCAGAGAAGATAGTAACAGCATTCAAAGCGGAATACGTAAGCTTATTATTTACTTTCATTTGATAAGTCACACGGATAGTTTTTGCTGTATTATTATTATTTTTTTTTTTTAATGAATGAAACAATACAAGACAAGGACGAAGTGGGGCTGAACTCAAGTTATACAACTTATTTTACAGCCCCACTTAACATTTAACATAAATACAATGGTCATACAAGTAGTGCGCTGAGAAACTAGACCCCATACATACAGTAATATATCTAAAGAGAAGTGTTATATGATCAAACAAAACAGAGTATACTATGTAACAAAAAAACGTCTAGTGCCGCTTATAAAATCTTGAGTAAGTAACATAATTTTTTCATTGTACTCAGAAGGTATCGCAAGCGATCCCCTGAGTACAAGATGGAGCCTGGCACTTTCTGAAAGGGCATCTAAATCAATCAAATGACCGATTAAATCAGAGAGAATTGTTAAGAAAATCAGCTCTTAACTGAGTAAACAAAGGGCAGTGTAATATAAAATGAGAAATGGATTCGCAGGGATACCCACAAATACATGAAGGGCTAAGAATCAAAGCACGATTAAAAAGACTATAGTTAAGATTGCAGGTACCGATGCGTAACCTGGTAAGAAGGGCGCAGGTGTACCTTTGGCCACAAGAGTACCACGGGGGACGAAAGGGGCGTACTAATTTAGTGAGATGGTTTTTAAAAGGTACATAACGTAAGTAGCGAATATCAAAGTCAAGATCATTCCAATAATTTAAACAGTACGGGATAAAGGATTTACAATGTCTATTAGTAAAAGGCCTACTGAGTCTAAAGTTTAATTTGTTTCTTAGGTTGTATACGGTAGTATTAAGAATTTCTGGGGGCAGTAATTCAGTCAGGTATGTCCGTGTTAAGCCGTGAACAATCTTATAAAATAATGATAATCTATGTACATGGCGTCTGCTCGAAAGAGTCTCCCAACCCAATTCCTGACATATATTAGAATAGGAGGAACCTTTAATGGCTCCGGATACAACAATTGAACAATGGTATTGGATTCTCTCGACAGATGAAGACTGTTCAGCAGTACAACCATGCCATATTGCGTCCGCATATTCAAGACATGGACGTAAAAATGTTTTTATAAATAATTTCAAGAACTTTGTCGGGGAAGTTTTAAATTTAAGTCCTCTAAACACATTGACTGATTTAGAGATTTTATTACATATTTGGTCAATATGATTGCCCCAAGACAAATTGGAAGACAAAACCGCTCCAATATGTTTATGGGATGCGACTCTTGTTATTTGAGACGTACCAAGAAAGAGGGGAGGGTGATAAGGAGGTTTGTTTTTGACAGAGAAACACATCTCCTCGGTTTTTAATGGATTTAAATCCATAAGCCACTTATTGGACCAATCTAAAATCTTAGACAAATCAGAATTTAATTTATGTGCGGACGCAATAGGGGTGTCGACTATTTCAAATAAAGAGCTATCATCGGCAAATATAAAGGGCATAGTAAGTAACTCGTTAACAATATCATTTATATACACAATGAATAACAGAGGGCCAAGCACGGATCCCTGAGGTACACCTGCGCCAATCTTAGACCAATGGGAGTTTTGTCCATCAATTACTACTCTCTGCGAGCGGTCTGATAAATAACTAAACATCCAGTTCAAAAGAGGGCCTTCAATGCCGTACTGTTGCAATTTAAAAATCAAACCTGAGTGCCATACTTTGTCGAAGGCCCTGGAAAAGTCCAAAAAGACAGCACGAACTTCCTTTCCGTTATCAAGAGCTTCAGAGATTAAATGACATATGTAAACAAGTTGACACACGGTAGAGTCCCCCTTAACAAAACCAGACTGAAAGGAATAGATAAGGTCGTTAGAAATAAAGTGGTTATAAACATGTTTGTAGACAATTTTTTCCAGGACCTTCGACAAAATAGGAAGCAAAGAAATTGGCCTGTAATTATGCTTGTCTTGGGAGGCTCCTTTCTTATATATAGGGATGACATTGGCTTTTTTCCAGGCATCAGGAAAAATGCCATGTGTCAAAGACATATTGAACACATAAGCTATTTTATCTGAGATATAAGGCGTTATAACTTTAAGAAAACGTGTGTCAATACAGTCATACCCATGAGCCTTAGAAGGATCTAGGCCACTGATATACAGCTCGACCTCTTCTGAGGAAGTTACAATGGATGACACTCTCGCATCAGTATAAAACGTGAGATCGGGAAGAACAGCCTGAGATGTATCTATCAAAGACTGGGCAGCAAAATAATCATTAAAAATACAAGCTTTTTCCCTAGCATCAGTAATGGATAAAGAACCTTCAAGAAGGGGGGGAATTGTTGATTGAAGTTTGGGTTTATAAAAATGTTTTACAATATGCCACCATTTTTTGGAGGCTGTTGAGGGATCCGAAAGAGAAGAAGCAAGACGAGCTTCATAAGAAGCCTTGGCTTTGGTAATTGAATTACATAATTTGTTTCGTATTTTACGATATGCTTCCCAGTGAACATCAAGATTGGTCAGCTTGGCAGTTCTATGTGATTTATCGCGTACCCGCATAAGTCTCTTAAGACTATAAGTCATCCACGGTTTTCCTTTAGATTTGATAGTGATATTTCTGTGAGGAACGCACCGAGATTTTGCCTCTAAAATAAGTTCAACTAGTTTATTACATGCCTCATTTACTGTTCCGCACCTATACACATCAGACCAGCTGGGATCAGATACAAAAGTTAAGAGAGAATCATAATCAAGGTTTTTATAGTCCCAGATAGTACGTATATAAGGTTTAGGGACAGTAAAAAAGAGCTTCATATTACCTACAATAGGAGTATGATGGCAACCGGATAAAGGAGACAAAACTTGGGTATTTGAGAAAAACAAAGGGCTATCAGTAAATATTAAATCAAGTAGAGAGGGGGACTGTGAAAGATCACAGGTAGGTTCAACGATGGTCTGATAAAGATTCAGTAACAGCTGAGCTTGGTACATTTTTGCACCAGCATGATTAATAGGATCCAGGTGCCACCTGCTGTATTACTAGAGAGAAGCATTCTAAAACAACAACCAAACATATTATTTGAATATTATATAATAGACATTTGTTTAGATGTTAAAAGACAACCAATGCAATTTCGCGAAATTCTAAACTAGCTTTAAAAATCAATTTTTTTTATACTGAAAAAGAATGCCTGTAAGATATAAAACACATATAGGTGCATATTATTATATAACAGATCTCGAACAAGGAAGGTAACGTTTTTAAGCAAATACAATATTATAGACCTTGGCATGGTCTAGCCTTACTCTGTTTATTTCTACTTATCAAATTCATATATTATGGCAGCAGCCCCTTTCAGCTCTTTTCTACTACACATTGTAATCGAACCCCACCAGGTGCTTGCAACAACACTAGTTACCATAGTAACTGACGTCTGGTCAAGGTCACTGACCTTGTGTGTTTGTAAAAGAAGAAGGGACTGAGCTAAGCCTTATGTTTTCCTTTTGCGAAGGTAAACATAATTATTGTGTTTTCTTTTAAAGACATGGTTTGACGACCGACTGGAATGGGAGCCCAAAGAATATGGAGAGGTCGATCATATCTTTCTCCCTGGCGATCAAATCTGGAAACCAACATTGACACTGGAAAGAAAGTAAATACTTTGACACTTTGTATTAACGCGTAACTTTTAAAATCTTTTATTGATGACTATTTTCAATATCTGTCTCTTTCTCACCCACCCATTCTCACAATCTCTATTTCTATCTCCTTTCAAACTCAGTACATTTTAATCCGACTTAGAAGTTCAAGCATCGCCATTGTGTTGTTGCAGTCGGAATGTTACCGCACATGTAAAGCATCAGGGTAGAGACTGGTAAAATTTGCATTTTTTTCCTATAGATTCTGATGGTAGTCTTTGTTCCTATAAATGGCTTTTTCTTATTTAAATGTGAATTGATTTAAATTGACTTGAATCAAAGATTAATTTTTTCAAACTTTGATTTACAACAATAACAATATCTAATTTTACCAGATCAGAGTTTCGACCTTAACGTAGACAAATGTATGCAAATGTATGTTGGGTTGTGTTTTGTTTAAACGCCGTATTGTTCCTCTAATTAAAGTCAAATGCTTCCTCTCAGTGCGGACACAGGTTACAGCGGCGGGTTTCCCAAGACTGATGTGAAAATCAATCACACCGGTGAAGTGACCTGGCCTGTAGAACTGCTAACTACAACAACCTGTACCCTGGACCCTTTCCTCTTCCCTCAGGACAACATGACATGTGCAGTGTGCTGGAGAGCGGGAGTACAGTACACTATAAGTAGGGAATAACGTACACACAATATACAATATCACTAGGGTTCAGGTACAATCAAAATCAACTATATATTTTCTAGTGTTTTTTTTTATTCCAATATGTAATCACCAGACGTGGTAGCGGCACTCAAGTTTTACAAACAAATACATGACAGGACAATACTCATTTTCACATGAGCGAAGTGAGGAAAGTCGTGTAAAGTGCATTTCCCAAGAGCACAAGATCGGTGGCATGTCAGGACTCGAACCCGGGACCTCTAGGTTCCGAGTCGCGCACTCTGCCGCTACGCCACACGACCCCACAGTGTTTATCACACGCAAACATACACACATGAACACACAGACACACGCACGGTCGCACACATGCATGGAACACATGCAAGAACCTAAAAAAATAAAGAAAGACGAGCCATTTTATTAGACCTACAAGGTTTCAGTTTCGTCGTAACGCGTTTGAAACCCTACAAAATTGATTGTATGTGGAATATATAGAATGAGAATGTAGGGTTTCTTTATTTATTACTCTAATCAGAACACATTTATCTCAATTTTGACTTAGAACTCAAAACGACATAAAGATGATTGTATGACGACGATCATCTTTATGCCGTTATACAGAAATACAGTTAAAGAAGACTCATCAGTAGTATACCGGTATGTTTGTCATGGATAGTCATTTTATACCACCAAGAATTCGCCAATCATTGTACATACTAAGTCCTTTAACATGTTTTTCCAGACTGTTCCAATTCATCAACGCATACGCATAAGGACAGCAATTTCCTGACCTGCCAAAACAACGAGACCGACATTGTCGCAGGAGAGTGGAGTGGGACAACAATCCTTTCAGCCATAAACAACACAGCCTGTCTGACCATGAGGCTCAAACGTGATCCCACCTATCACTACTCTACAACCATCTCTCCCTGTCTCATCCTGATCATCCTCATGATCATCACCTTCATCATGCCCATTGATAAAGGCGACAGGATTGGATTCGGCGTCACCGTGCTGCTGTCCATGGTGGTGTCGCTAGTCGTCGTTACAAGTTTTCTACCAGTGTCCAGTACTCTGCCATTCATTGGTAAACTGAATCTCCAATAAGGCCACAGCAAGTAAATTTTATGGGTGACATCCTCCGCAGTCTCCAATCAATGCGAACGGTTGAAAAAACAAACAAGGCGGGCCGAAAAAAAAGCAAGGTTCCTACATTTTAAAATTTTGACTCAATCATTGAACTATTGGTTTTGATTCAGCAAGAAGATTACATATACACAGACAATACATATCACTGCATGAAAGTAAGAAGCAAAACATTAAATCAGAGCCTTTTCTTGTCTCCATAGTTATCTGCCATACACCTTCTGGCATAGCAACAGACATCTTTGCGTATTTTCGGCATGTTGTCCACTGTCAGAAAGCAGCAATATTACAATTGTTTTTACAAAATCAGGCGAAAATTAATGCGCGCGCTGATGTCATCCATAAAAATTACTTGCTGTGGCCTAAGTAAAATAGCGTTAATAAGCAGTCCCTGGTTGTATGCGGCGTCATAATTCATAGTCGGTTCCTATAACTGCCGAATGAAGGCGAAGTAGCACACAAAAGAAAATCTGGGTCATCAACGTTATCATCATATAGCTACATGTATCCGAACATGGCGTCCAAGTAAACCTAGCGTCGTAGCAAACTTAACTACCGGCAGCGATTTGGAAGTCCAGCGGACATGTTAAATTGGTGTATGATACATTGTAAATCATTACATAGAAGATTTAGAACCAAATGTATTAAGCAATGGACATTGCCAATATCAGCTATATTATTCATTGGTATGATATCTACGTTATAGTTGTTATCATACTGTTCAAGTTTATGATGTGTTAATGATACTTATAAATAAAGACAATAATAAAGAATATTTTCTTTATTATTTTACAGCTATGCTGATCATCGTTTGCATGGCTCTGATGGCCCTCTTCATGCTGACGACTCTTTTCATCATCATTATCCACGACAAGAAGGGACCTGTCCCAAAATGGGTACGGACGGTCTTCCTGAAGCACGTTGCAAGGTATGTTAAAGATTAGAATATAATACGGATACATTACAAATCGCAATGTGATTAAAATGTTATTTTACCGCCGGTTTACTTTACATATTGACCTGGTCATGGATTACGGTGTGATATTTTTTTATTGATATGCAATACCAAAATTTACGTTGAAGCAACTTATTTTAGTTTCATCACCCGTGGCTAAAACAATCCCTTAATTTTCATAGTGGTACTTTGTAATGAAATATTTTCTTTTACTAATTACCTAATGTGAAGAAAATGTTTACCTTCCTTTAGGGCCCTACTGATGGGAGACTTAACCAAGAAGCTGAAGAGTGAAGAGGCATCAGCCTTCACCGTTAGCAAGAACTTAGATGACGTGAAGAATGAGGTTAAAGCTACCATTATTGGGTTAAACGGAAGCGCACTAGATGAACTGAAGGCCAATGTTAAGGAATTGTCTGGGAGCATCGATGGTCTGGCAAGTGGTGGTGAGGAAGAAGAAGAAGTTGCAGAGTATGCTCTGCTGGCTAAAGTTCTAGACAGGCTGAGTTTGGTCCTTTATATTATCGCCATTTTGGTGGCCATTCCATGCACTCTGCATATTGGTCGCCCGAAGATCAAGGTGAATTGAGAAAGTGACGAAATTGTGACCTGATGTTTAGTGAGGAAGGAAAGGTTTTCCATTTTCAAAATTTAATAAAGAGTTAATATCCCGCCCTGAGGTGCATATGGCCAGATAAGTCCTTGCCAGGTGCGATAACCACAAAATGAACAATAAGTTGTTTTTTTTTTTTTAGTTATTGCACCTAACCATATATACCGAGGATAAGGTGGGACATGAATGTTATTATCATATCCATCTGAAAAAAAAGTTATTTGACACAAATTCCCAATTATAAAACAACTCCATTGTCAAAAACAAAACTCTCACATTCTGAGTTACATTCTGAGTTACGTGAAACAAGATGGCATGAACAGAAAAACAGGCCATCTAGAATCATCTGTGGTAACTACGTGACGTTGAACAGTTATTACCACTTTAAGTGAGCATGCCAAAAGTTAGTTTTGGAATTGGCTTTTCAAATCTCATTTGTATCCTTTTAATTGTGTTCTACATTTGTATCTTTAAACAATTCATTTAAAATAAACTACAGTTTCATTAGAAAAATGGTACAAGTCTTAACACTACTGCGAGTGTCCTGTCCCCTGTATAATGGTGCGGTCCAAAAGAGGCCGATTTTACTAATTATTGACCGAGTTTTAGGTTACGGCTTGACTATCAATGGGAATTTGAGCCTTCTGATTAGTCAACGTCTTCTTGCTTTATGATTATACTTATTAAACCCGGTTGACTGCTACATGGGCCCAGCTAGGATGGGAACAGGATATTGTATGGATTTAAAGGTTCAAGAAGGTTGACAAGGTTGCACTGTGATCTGTGCTTTACGAAGTCACGAAGAAGAAAAAAAATGACTATGACAAGTACATTATAACGAATAATGATTTGTTATCAAGCAACAATAATGTATATAATAACTAGACCATATTAGTAGCACCCATAATAATCAAGAGTAATAAGTATCCAATATACCACATACGTATAGTGTACATGCCATTCCGTCAAGGACGGTCATTAGTAGTCTATTGCAAAATTTTTAAGGTGGAGGTGTTCTAATGTTATTCTACACAATATTTTGTTTGGGCTTACAAGTTATGTTATTCCGTGTGACGTTATGTTTAGTTCTGTGATTGCCCTGTAATGCCATGTTATTTCATGTGGTGCAAAGTTTTCTTCCAGTTAGGTCTTAGATTAGTACCAACTTCAAGTGTGCCTAATTAACTAACATCATTTGGTATCTGTTATCACCTATTTCATGTTAAAAACTTTGCTAGAAACTTGTATTCCATTACAAATTTTTTGCCACTAGTATAACCAGACTGCGAATTGGCGCGCATTGCTTTTAGAAATCGAGAAGGGTCGTCGGAAATGTATACCAGCCGAAATATCATATTTTCTGTCTGCAAAGAAAAAGTTTATCATTAATATTATTTTAATGATATGCTCTTGTTAAAGCAAAGAAAGGATAAGACTAATTAAATCATGTATGGACAAGATAAAGCCACCTGTAAAAAAAATCAAATATGCTTATATCATGCCCCGAAGCTTTATCTGTTTATCTAGGTCAATATATATATATATATATATAATATATAT